GTATCTTAGACTCCAGCATCGGTAGTTCCTATTGTCTCCCTTTTGGCTGTTTTGGAGAAGGAACGAGGCCATGTGCTAATGCTTCCTACCACAAACGCAGCAGCTACAGTCCAATCAAAGGAGGGTCAGACTGGGAGGATTGAGGAGTGGATAGCACTGTGCAAGTTGAAACTTTGGAGCATGCTCTATTTAACCAGTCACTACAATTGTCAAGGCATATTGACACACAGTGAGACACCACAAAACACCTTTCTGAAGATTTAGCAGAGGAAGTTTCTGACGAAGGCTCACTGAATCCAAAACATCGATTTCTCTCCACAGATGCTGCCAAAGCTGCTGAGCTTTTGCAGCAATTTCTGTTTTTGTATCAGACAAAATTTGACACCAAGTCACCTTAGTGATGAACAGCTGACCAGATCTTGCTGTAAGAGATAGTTTTTTAAAGCCAAAAGATAGATAAGAAAGGCAGAGAATTGGAGGGATTTCCAGAGATTAGGAGCAATTAAGTCAGGCATCTGCGAGAAAATAGATTTGAAAGAAATGCAGAGATTTGAAAAGGTTGTGCAGAGTTTACAGAGATAGGGTTGGGGGCGGGTGTGGTGTGCTGATCACAGAGAGATTTGAAAACAAGGGTAAGAATTTAAAAATTCCAGATTGCAAGGTTCTGCTGCCTCACAGCGCCAGGGACCCGGGTTCAAGTCCACCCTCGGGCGACCGTCTGCGTGGAGTTTGCACATTCTCCCCGTGTCTGCGTGGGTTTCCTCCAGGTGCTCCGGTTTCCTCCCACAGCCCAAAGATGTGCAGGTTAGGTGGGTTGGCCATGCTAAATTGCCTGTAGTGTTCAGGTTAGATGGATTAGCCATAGGAAATACAAGGACAAGGTAGGGGACGTGGATCTGGGTGGGAAGCTCTTCAGAGAGTTGGTGTGTTCTTGTTGGGCTGAATGGCCTGTTTCTACACTGTAGGGATTCTATGAAACGGAGGAGATTGGTAAACGGGTGTGAAATGAGCTCGGAAACAGCACCTGGAGAATTTTGGATGAGCCCAATTTTAAGAAAGGAATGGGAGACCAGACAGGACAGTACAAACAGGTTGTGAGTTCAAATCACACCAGAAAAAAAATGTAAAATTGAATTCAACAAATCTGGCAAAGACGAAGCAGATAGATTTTTGAAATATTGAGGAATTGAGGGCTCTGAGGACCTGGCACGAAAGAGGCTTGGGACAAATCAGCCATGATCTAGTAATGATGTGGAGGTGCCATTGTGTTGGACAGGGATGGACAAGGTCAGAAATCACATGACACCAGGTTATAGTCCAACAGGTTTATTTGAAATCACAGGCTTTCAGAGTGCAGCCCCTTCGTCAGCTGAAAGAGCAGCACTCCAAAAGCTTGTGATTTCAAGTAAACCTGCCGGACTATAACATGGTGTCATGTGACTTCTGAAATGATCTGATAGAATGGTGAGGCAGGCTTGAGGGGCCGAATGGCCTATTTCTTGTGTCCTTGTAATAATTTATGGGATGGAATCATGCAAAACAATAAATACTGCAAGGAATTTTTGTCTTAAAAATAGCCAAAACAATTCAAACGTGTCTCAAAACAAATTTAATTCTGAATGGATACTTCATTATTTCACTCACTTGTAGCTTATTTGCTGAACGTAGTAAGTTAAGCACTGACATTTTAGCTGCTTTATTTAACGGTCAACAATTAAAACCAATTTATTTCAATAAATGATCAGCCGGATGCTATAGACACCTCTAATCCCAGGTCACACTCACAAGTACGAAGAGAATTGACTGGAGATTTATTTCAATGGAAAATATTTTTGAACGAGATTAGATAGTTTGTGGTAATGAATTCAATTAAGTTCCTCACAGACAGGGTTCTTTCAAGGTGTCTTACACAATAAAGCAACCTTGCTAATGGGCAATAATCCCAATGAAATGCTGATTTAACTACCAATTTAACCTTACCGGGAAACTGAACAATATGCTTAAACATAGGGAAATGCCCATTCTTTACTTCACTAACAGCTTCCACTTCTTTGTGTTAATTATTCATTTCTTCTGCAGATGGCATTTGAGACAGATTTTTGAACATTACAGGAATTAAGGGTTATGGTGAGTGGGGGTGTCAGTGGAGCTGAGTCCATGAAAACATCAGCCATGATCCTATTGAATGGCAGAGCAGGCTCGAGGGACCTCCTCCCGCTCCTACTTCTCATGTTCTTATGACTCTTTCAGGTAATTGACTGGCCCATCTGCCCTCTCAGGTAGATAGGAATGATCACGTGGGCACAATTTTGAAGCAGGGCATTCATTCCCCAGGTCCTTTTTTTATTTATTTTTAATCAACAATTCTAAAAAGAAATGATTGGGAATTTGTGTTTGTCATGGTCAAATTAAATGGTGCTAAAAGCCCAAGAGGCTGTTCCCTGTCTCTGAGATGTAGTTCCATACCTCAGAGTAGTGTGTATGAAAACCAGAAATCAGAGCCTTGATGGATAGCGCTTTCACAATCTAACTTTCTCTTGATAAGAGAGGCTGGGGGCTGACCTAACAGAAGTCTTTAATATTGTGGAAAGTTTCAGTGAAGCAGTCAGAGGGGAAATGTTCCCACTGTTGGGTTCTGTGCTACTGAAGCATTTCAGTACCTTGTTAATTCATACCTTGAACATTTAGAGATACAGACTGAGAAAATACAGAGATAATACGTTAGAAAGATAGAAACCTTACAGTGCAGGTGGAGGCCATTCGGCCCATCGAGTCAGCACCAACCCTCCAAACAGCATCCCACCCAGACCCACCCCCGCTACAGTATCCCTGTAACCCCGCATTCCGCATGGCTAACCCATCGGGCCTGCACATCCCTGGACACTACGGGGCAATTTAGCATGGCCGATCCACCCTAACCTGCACATCATTGGACTGTGGGAGGAAACTGGAGCACCCGGAGGAAATATCAGTACTTACCTGAGTGGCTTCGATGATGCGTTGAGGCCAGGCTAACCCGTCCGCAGATTGTTATCAGGCACACAGTTAACACAATTATCCTCTTCCCCATGTTTTGTAAGTAGTTCCCACTCATCCTGCAACAAAATCATAAAATAGACATGAAATCACGTTGTGTAATTCTCCTTCGCCTCCAGAAGGAACTAATATTATTGGGTTACATTTCCTGCAGCACCAAGAACCTTCCAGAAGCTTGCGCAAGTGCAAAGCCAGAAATGAATTCCTTGCCAACAATGGGAGGAATGAAAAATGAAGTTTTGGGATGTGGTCATTTACTGGCAAGATGGGTATTTATTGCTCCTCCCTGGTTGCCCCTTGTGAAGGCGGGAGCTAGAAGGAAAAAAAACGGTAAAATTTGAAAAGGACAGGACTGGCCTGAACGCGCCTCGCCAATGTGAAAATGGAATTTCAGTTCCAATGAGTTGCCTTCTTAAACATCTGCACACTCATGGAGCTATCAGGAAGGGAGCTTCAGGATGTTGACTGGGGAACAATAAAAGTATCTGTCCAAGTCAGGATGGTGCGTGACTCAGAGAAGATCAAGATCATGGGGTTGGGAAGTGTTACCAAAGAGGACTTGGTGAGTTGGTGCAGTGGGAATGCTGAACCAATTACATTTTTCTTAATCCCCTCACACGATGAGGGTATCTTTTATTGCCCAGTGGGCAGTTGAGAGTCAACCACACTGTTGTATGAGCGGAGTCATATGCAGGCACACTAAGTAAGGGTGGTAGATTTCCTTCCCTGAAAGTATTAGTGAACCAGATGGGTGTTTTCCTGACAAACTGGTAACGCTTTCATGGTCTTCAATAGACTCATTAATTCCAGATTTTTATTGGCTTCAAATGCTACCAGTGGCCTTGGCAGGATTTGAACCCAGCTCCCCAGAACATCACCTGGATCACTGGTTTAATAGTCTAGTGATAATGCCACTTGACCTACCTATAAATGCACCACATCAATACACCACATATACCAACATTCTCCCTCCACCACCGATAATCAGTAACAGCAGTGTGTACTATATGCAAGATGCACTGCAGAAATTCACCAAACATCCCCAGACAGCACCTTCCAAACCCACGACCACTTCCATCCAGAAGGAAAAGGGCAGCAGAAACATTGAAACACCACCACCTGCAAGGTTCCCTCCAAGACATTCACCATCTGACTTGGAAATATGTTGCTGTCTCTTCATTGTCACTGGGTAAAAATCCTGGAATTCCCTCCCTAATGGCATTTTTACATTATTCACTCAATGTAGGTGTCATTGGCTGGGCTAGTATTTATTGCCCATTCCTAGTTGCCCATTCAGAAGGTGGTGGTGAGCTGCCTCCTTGAACCACTGCAGTCCATGAGCTGTGGGTAGACCCACAATGCCCTTAGGGAGGGAATTTCAGGATTCTGACCCAGTGACAGTGAAGGAACGGCGATGTATTTCCAAGTTAGGATGGTGAGTGGCTTGGAGGGGAACTTGCAGGAGGTGGTATTCCCATGTATCTGTTGCCCTTGTCCTTCTGCATCACATGGACTCCAGAAGTTCAAGAAGGCAGCTCAGCACCACCTTCTCAAGGGCAACTAGGGATGGGCAATAAATGTGCCCCAACCAGCAATGCCCACATCCCATGTGAATAAACAAAAATTGCACCTGCACCCAATGCTATCCAAATGCAGGGCTTTTTGGTTTGCAGTTGAGAGCGGGATTCCAAAGTGATATTTCACATCGAACTCAGGAGTGCTGAGATAAACCACAGCATCAACACTCTCTCTGTCATCTTCCTAACATAGAGCAGCTACCTAGTATAGACCAAAGGTTCAATCCTGGGATCTGCCTGTCTACATGGTTCATCGTTCAGCAGTTGGGAGAAACAGAATTTACTAAACTTTAATTCACTACAGATGCCACAATCAGCAGGATTCGTGAACCATTCCAGCTCTTTCAACATGGAGCTCATTATCCCTGCTGCTTTCATCTTCCACTATGTCAACATGGTTCAATAATTCTGAGATTTCAACATTTCCCCATAGGTTTTCAAACAATTCACAAAAGCAAAATGAAATTATAAAGTGGATGTACAATTTACAAGTGATGTAAGAAGCATGATGTGACGGGATTTGGAGTGGCACTTCCAATTTGCTTTATCGTTGATGTGAGTCACGTTAGAGCAGGACTTGAATGAACAACACCAGCAAATACAGTGTCTGCCATCTCTTGTGGGATTTACAAACCCAGGAATTCACTGTCTTTTCTACACAGTGATATTAATCAGAATGATGAATTAACCCAGCTACTTTTCATGGTTACAGTAAATCCATGCTCATTAACTTATTCCAAATTTCAACTTATGTGATGCAAAACTTTCTGGTATTTAACTTCACCCTAGATTATGTCGTATATTTTATATGCTTACTTGTTACCTATTACATTGCCTTACACGTTCTGTAAGGTAATGATCCTGAAGAGGTTAATGTTCATATTGCATTAGCTCTACCCATTCCACTGATGACATACAGAGGCTGTGTGGAGCTAAGTTCTTCACTAGATTTTGGAGGGAGAGTATCGATCTGCACCAGCCTCCTAAAGTCCCTGTTACTATGTCTGAGAACAACTGGTTCAAAAGCAAATACTTATTCAAAAGTTGGTATGCAGGTACAGCAAGTAGTTAGGAAAGCAAATAGAATATTACATTTTATTGTGAGAGGAATTGAATGCAAGAGCAGGGAGGGTATGCTTGAGTTATACTGGGCACTGCTGAGACTATATCTGGAGTGTTTTGTACAATATTGGTCACTGTATTTACAGGATAATGTTAATTCATTGGAAGCAGGTTCAGAGAGGCTTTACTAGACTAATACCTGGCACGAGTGGTTAGCTTTTTGAGAAAACATTAAACAGGCCAGGCACATATCCACTGGAGTTTAGAGGAGCCAGCAGTGACTTGATGAAACATATAAGATCCTGAGGGGGGTTAAAATTAAATCAGAGATAGTAGGAACTGCAGATGCTGGAGAATCCAAGGCAACAAGGTGCAGGGCTGGATGAACACAGCAGGCCAAGCAGCATCATAGGAGCAGAAAGGCTGACGTTTCGGGCCTAGACCCTTCATCAGAATCAGCGTCTCTGCTCTTATGATGCTGCTTGGCCTGCTGTGTTCATCCAGCCCTGCACCTTGTTGTCTCAGATCCTGAGGGGACTTGATCAGGTGGATGTGGAAAGGATGTTTCCTTTACTGTGAGAATCCACAACTAGAGGTAATAGTTCTTTTTCTCACTCCTCAAATAAGGGTGTTGTTGTCTAAGCAGCATTTGTTGCACAGAAGCCAGTAAAGAGTCAACCACATTGCTGTGGGCCTGGAGTCACATATAGGCCCAGACAAATAAGCACGGCAGTTTCCTTCCCTAAAGGACATTAGTGAACCAGATGGGTTTTCCCTTAAATTGACAATAGATTCATAGTCACCATTAGACTCTCCATTCCAGATTTTTTATTGAATTCAAATTCCACCATCTGCTGTGACAGGATTTGAACCTAGGTCCCCAGGATGTTACCTAACCTCTGGATTAACAGCGCAGTAATAATACTACTGGGCCATCCCCTCCCCTATCAGGTTAGAAACAAAAGGCTCCTATTTAAGATAGGAGAGGAACAATTTCTTCTCTCAGTGGGTTATGAGTCTTTGGAATTTTATTCCTCAAAAGGAATCTTTAAATATTTTTAATGACGGCTAGTGACATCATCACTAGACTATTATTCCATAAACTCTGCTAATGTTCTGGGGACCCAGGTTCAATTCCCACCATGACAGATGGTGGAATTTGAATTCAATAAGAAAAGTCTGCAATTAAGAATCTACTGGTGACCATGAAATGATTGTCAGAAAAACCCATCTGGCTGACTCATGTCCTTTAGGGAAGGAATCTGCCATCTTTACCTGGTCTGGCCTACATGTGACTCCAGACCCACAGCAATGTGGTTGACTCTTAATTGACCTGTGGGCAATTAGGGATGGACAATGAATGCTGGCCTAGCCAGCAACACCCACGTCCCACGAGTGAATTATAAAAGACAGATTATTGATGACCATGGGGATGAAACACTATTGGCAATATGCAGGAATGTAGAGTTGAGAATAAAATCAGATCAGCCATGAGCTTGTTGAATGGCATAGCATACTGAAAGGGTTGAATGGCCTACTCTTGTTCCTTGTTGATAAACACTGGTCCAGGAACATTGTCATTGACCAATCCATCAAGAAACAACTGGTAACAGATTCCATTGGGTTTCCCAGAATCGTGGGTGAATGCAAACAGAAGAAGGAATCCAGTGAGATCACTTGTTTTGGTATATGTAGCTAATTAATATTGTCAACGTGGAGGACATTTACAGGACCATGAGAAATGTTCAACTCTCTGTAATCTGAAAGAGAACGGTCAATGCTCGTGACCAAGACGGTGTTGAATGAGCAACAAGGTTCAGGAACACGACTGCAAGCCTGAAACTGTGAACTTCACCTGCCAAATCACTACAGTCTATCTGTGTATACCTCCACTGGATCCAGACCACTATCCACAGATCCAGGACATAGTCAAGAAGAAGAAACTGCCTGGTCTAATCATCCAGGATACTGCAAAAAAGAGACCATCTCTTCATATTAGAAAGTAATTTCCTGATCCAGAAATCCAGGAGCCTTTCTCAACACCCATTTCACTTCCCTTCTCAATCCTGCTAATCCCTTAAGGAAGATGCTGAGATTTATTCAATCCGTGGATTTTTTGTTTCGTGAGGAGGAATGACGAATGATGTTTGTGATAAAGGCTCAACTATAGTTATTGTGAGACATTACAGTTGGTGCTCCAGCCTTTAAATTATTTATATTGGCTTTGTGCCTTATTAAAAAAAGGATGCAGGTACCAGCACACATCAACACAAAATTAACGGAATGTGCATTGGATAAGATGGAACTGAAAGCACTGTACCTCTTTAGCACTGCAGCCTAAAGGAATGTGCATTAGCTAGCTTAAATTCAGTGCTCTCTTGAAGTGGAGCCAAACACATGGGTGCATCTGGATAGAAGCA